GGTGTTCCTATGATTAATAAGTACAACGGAAATAGTGGCGACGAGGGAAACAGGTCGCGGCAGGTTCCGTAGCCGAGACCGTGCAGGCCCACTGTGCTGCGTTGGGTATGGCAGCCGACTCCAAATGTCCTCTCCGCTGTACGGATTAAAGGCCAGTGAACTTTCACCCAATTTACTACCTGTGCTGAGAGCAGGCCCCCATTGTTGTATCGCCAGAAATTGCTGGTCGCCAGATGGCCTCATGCCAAGGCGGGAGAAAGTAGCATCGAGGTCAAAACAACAACAAGTAACAAGGGGCTTTAACCAGGCAAAATTGTTTGCTGAAGTGTGTACCTTCTTGCACAGTTAAGAGTTCAATAACAGAAATCCTGTGTTTTCTTGACAGGGATAGCTGCAGATCCCTTTATTGTGGTGCTGCTCGCGGTGTCTCCGCACTCCGAGCGGCGCATAACCCACGCCTTGCACAGCACTTGCTAGTGTCTTCTACTACATAATCTAGTTATAACTTCTCCGGATCGTATAGGTAGTATTACTTTGGTTTTTTATGTGGCGTATATGCTGTTCCTAAGTTGTGGAAGGTCGTGGGAGGAGAGTATCCAATATCCATCGACTGGGTGGCACATTCCCCCACCGTGCAGTAGATGAAGGTCGAAGACTGCTTTCAGCATACTCTTGTACACCATTTACTGTGCCAGCGCCAAGCTTATTTTTTGTAGCATATTTTGGTTGTGGTCTAAAGTAATGTTTCGTTGGTTTTCGCTTGATGTAAAAATCCACATGGAATTTCCCCCGGAGGGAAACCGCTTGTCCCCTCGACAGTGTCCATCAACGGCACAGTTAATGGTACTCAGCAAAATGCGAAAAGCATTTAGAAAAAGCTAAGTCGCAACATCTTTGCTAACCCCAAGCAACTTAGCCTCAACCCGTAGGAGGCTCTCCCTTCCAACAGCTGTGGCAAGCATGCACCCTTTGACAGTAGCGGCAGTAGGTGCACCGAAATTCCTCGATCATAGAACACTGCTATCATGAGCTGCACTGCACTCGAATAACATGGTAAATATACCACAAAAATCACCTGCCACCTCCTTAGTATCCAGGCGCTCCTCACCGGCGCTTAGCTTTAATGCAGATATAATACAGCTTGCCTTGATCTACAGCACGCCGTGGTACAAATCGTGCCGCAACGCTGCCCCAATATGCAGCCAGACACAAACCTCATTCGATGAATGGACTACGTCCCTGCACAGGTGTTAAACACTTGCACTTCCTTAGCTGGCCAGCCGATGCATACGTGACAGTAGGTCCATCAATTGGTGTATCAGCGCTGCTAGAGTTGCATTGTATGTGCAACTATTACTTTTCAGTAGTTGCCAGACTTGCCAACTAAAATTAATCAGGCGGTCTCATCGGAATTTAGTAAAGTTGTGGCTGCTAGAGGACATCGGCAGCTGCATTAACTCTTCTTGTGAATGTGGATGTACTAACATGGAAATAAGTATGAAGAAATAAGTTGGTCCCTCAGCAAGGAAATAACTATTGCCAGCGTAGTAGGCAGTTCGTCCTAAAAAAGGAACCACATCTCTTGCACTGGACATGGCACACTTTTTTGTGCCATTGCAAACCTCTGTCACAATATGCCCACCGTGGAGCAACACCGAATGACACGAGATCCAACGCACAAAACGGCGTAGTAGTGACTTGAGAGTCACCAACCGAGTTATGCGGAGATGAAGAAAAGGGATGCGAGCGCCCCCGTGCAATAGAAATATTAGCATTGCGTCCTCAGTGCCCATTTCGCACGTTTGTGTTAGACACCCCTTATTATTATATTTTAGGATATAGCCATTTCCACCGCGCTTCATTGCGTCAACGCAGTCACCTAACCTCTCTAATTTGGGCGATCACGCCTTTCTATTAACTAGTGACAAGTCTCGGCTCCGCCCAGACAAGGAGAAGAAAGCTCTAGACAGCATTCTGCCAGTATAGCCTAGTTGTATGCGCGTAAACCAATACAACCATGGTTTGGCCAATCCAGCCGTGCGTCAATCACATTCCCCATCGCGTCTCCACGGATCCCACTTCCTCTCCTTGAAACTATGGCGCCCGAGTTCAGGGCCGAATAGAAGTTTTTTGAGCGCATACACTTCTCCAAGTGGAGGGCGTCTCCCCTGCTTGTATATGTCCATGGCGGCTACAAGCCGTTTTGCCAAATTCCTGTGTAATTGCGGTAGTTCTCCTCCACGTGATCCTGGAGGACGAAGAGGGAAGTTCGTTTTAAAGCTTGCTGTGAACTTCCCCCACCAAAGTGGAAGCTCCATGTGCTCCCCCACAAGTTCGATAGCACACACGATCGCGTCTATTGCCACGAAACGATTTCCTAATGCTTCAACAATGTATCGAGGAGCAGTCCTTCTCGGTGTCCTTTGGCTCTGAATCCAAGTTATGGAAATCAGCCGCTCGACGGCGTTTACGAGGATATCTGCTCGCTTCTGGTCGAGTGTTTTCTGTGCGTAAATATTTTTCAAAGTGAGCAGGCAAAAGTGTGGGGATGGTCTTATTTGTTTCCGCGCAAAGAGGACAGCTATACGGAGTCGCCTGGGAACTACGCCTTCCTCAACCACTGGGAGCCGAACATATGGATGGTTTTTAATGTCGGGACCAAGGAGATCTCTGAGGCCAAATGGGGACTCTCGACTCGACAAAGGTGATGCTGCTGCTTGTCCAGACTTTTGCTCGTCGCCTCCAACCCAAATTACCTCCTTAATTCCCTGATCTGCAGGGGGGATGTTGATACTTGGAATTGTATCCATCCAGGAATCGGGGTCCAGAGCAGGAGTCACATCAGTGAATTCACCATTCTCAACAAATGCCTGCTTTGAAGAAGTTGGCAAAAACCTCATATCACTGTCTTCATACTCAAAACCAGTTCGCCCCTCCAGCCACTGCCCGCTCGAGTCTACCTCCCCTCCAACGGGAAGACGTTCTTCTACTGATTCCTTCGCTGCGGCAGCTTCTGATAGCATTGATACTAATTCCGTTACCCGGTCTGACGAGTCATTTGTAGAACCAGAGGTAGCTCTGTCCTTAAGAACCCCCATATCGGCCTCCAAGTCGAGGCATCCTTCTATAACTGAAAGCTCATCTTCATCAATACCTTCCCCGCCCTGGGACAGCCTACGATTTGTCACTCCAGATAACCATTCTCTGCTGCGCAGGGGCATGCTAATCCACAAGGATACTATAATAAGTACAACGGAAATAGTGGCGACGAGGGAAACAGGTCGCGGCAGGTTCCGTAGCCGAGACCGTGCAGGCCCACTGTGCTGCGTTGGGTATGGCAGCCGACTCCAAATGTCCTCTCCGCTGTACGGATTAAAGGCCAGTGAACTTTCACCCAATTTACTACCTGTGCTGAGAGCAGGCCCCCATTGTTGTATCGCCAGAAATTGCTGGTCGCCAGATGGCCTCATGCCAAGGCGGGAGAAAGTAGCATCGAGGTCAAAACAACAACAAGTAACAAGGGGCTTTA